CATACTGCCCAAAGTAATTTACAGATTCAACACTATCCCCATCAAGATACCAATGACCTTCTTCACAGAACTGGAAAAAACCACCTTATACTTCATTTGGAACCAAAAGAGAGCCCGCATAGCCAAGACAATCCTAAGCCAAACCAATTGCCCATCGATGATAGACTGGAAAGGGAAGATGTGGCACATACACCATGGAATACTATGCAGCTATAAAAAACGATGAGTTCGTGTCCTTTGTAGGGACATGGATGAACCTGGAAACTATCATTCTTCTCAGCAAACTGACACAGAACAGAAAGTCAAACACTGCATGTTCTCACTCATAGGTGGGTGTTGAACAATGAGGACACACGGACACAGGGAGGGGAACATCACACACTGGGGTCTGTTGCGGGGAAATAGGGGAGGGACAGCGGGGGCTGGGGAGTTGGGGAGAGAAAGCATGGGGAGAAATGCCAAATATAGGTGATGGGGAAGAAGGCAGCACATCACACTGCCATGTGTGTACCTATGCAACAGTCTTGCATGTTCCTCACTTGTACCCCAAAACCTAAACTGCAATTTAAAAAATTGAAAAAAAAGAAAGAAAAAAGGAGAAATACTTAAATGATATAATCAAAGTACAGAGTAAAGTCAGTTATGAGGTACTACTTTATATAATTCTATGAAAAAAGTTGAAAACCCTGCTGAAGCTGAGGATCAAATAAAATATAAATAATCAAATTGTAAGTTTAAATGTCTCACATTGCCAAAGATGGTATCAAGATGAATTCTATCAAATCTTCAAAAGACAATGCCAACTTTATTTACATAGTTCCAGATCATGAAATAGAAATCAGTCTTCCAAATTCTTTTTACAAAGTCAAGCCACCATTTATAACAGACCTTGTGGAAGGTAACATAAGAAAATAAAACTTTTAACCATCTTGTACCTGTCAAGTTTCCATCAGGAGGGAGAGAAAGACATGTATGAATTCAGGGGTAAAAAAGTTATTATAGGAATTAGACTTTACACAGTGTTGGAGGAAGCTGGATGGAGGGGAACTGAAAGTTGAACTAGGGAGCTGGAAGATCAGAGGCATCACCAACCTGTTAATATGAGTAGCCCAGCAGTTTTAGTTGCTGAGAGGGAACAGGAAAGGCTGGCTGGAGAAGTCTACAGAAAGCCGTTCCCTCTGGGCTCCTCCAGCCACACATCTGGTGATGGGCCTGTAGTGGCTATTTGCCAGCAGGGCCAGCAGTGAAGATGAAGACCTCCAAGCAGAGAAGAGAGTGAAGACAAGCTGAAACCTGCCAGGTAACCCTGTGCCTCTGCTTTACCTCATGCAACCATGATGAAGCAATAATGGCCATTGCTTCACTTGAACCTACCAAAACCACAAAAATTTTTCTTTTAGCCAACTCTAACCGAGAACAGTACAAGGAAGGGGATGCTGAGGAACATTCCTTCCAACTAAACCAAGTGGGCACTCAGCATAGTCTATCTCTGTCAGTATGGCATTAGCATGGAGTTTTTTCAACCACATTTAACTTCCAAATAAAGGCAGTAACAAAATCATGCTTTTGCCTAATAATGCTATTATACCTCTACAACCAAAAAACACAATAGCATTCTCTCCAGAAAAGACCGCACACAGTCCTATGTCACATTGTCCACCTTTGTGTGATACAGACTTCTATTTGAGTCATATTCTCCCTTGCTATCTGGTAACATAAATAGTGAGAGTTAAGTTTAACCACTATTAACATACTGTATATAGTAGAAGAAGGAAATGTGATCAAATTAGAGAAAGAATTGATAAATATATTCACTCTTTCCTGTACACACCTATTTAAAACATAGTAAGAAGGAAATGCTCAACTACTACAGCACTTGTTTCAAACTAGTCAATCAGTTGTAACTGACGATTACGTTTCTTTTTCCATACCCACTCCATATTCCTTTGCCCCTGGCAAACGCCTCTGGTGGTTAGGTTCCTTACCTGGTGGGTGAAACACATCTTCATTTATTATTCACCAATATGGACTGTTATATTTTTTCAAATGGGCCTTTATCATAAGACATGGGGACTATAGTAAGTGAGAACTTAGAGGATCTTCTAAATTTCTCCCTGATCTCATTGTATGATAACGACCAGTTTCTCCTTCACAGTCAGATTTCATTACCTCGGACAGTGTTGAACTTTGTTATCGATTCAGTGGTGTGAGGACCCGAAAGTAGCCAGGTGGCAATCTCAGTTCCTGCTTGAATAGAACCACTGATGTGCCCATTGGTGAATACATTCCTTCCTTGGATACCAAGACCTCTAGAGAAGCAAAGCCCAGAGTTGAGGGCAAGACAAACAAAATCCTATTAGTGAATCATATAAATAATGATGAAAGGAGTCACTCTGACTTCTGCCTTTTGATTCTTGGACCCATAATTCCAAAATAGCACCAGTATATTGATCGCTGACTCAGAGTATGTATTGTATACTGGTAAAAGCATCCCAGATCTGTAAAGTATTGCTACCCAGCTGAATTTTTGAAAGTCATTTCTACCGTAATGTTTACATTTGCTAGTACAGAAAACTGCAAAGACATCAACTTACATACACCTTGTGGAAGCCCATCAAGTAGTGATAACCACAATTAAGCTTTTGGTATATTTGTGTGTTTAAGGAACGTGTAAATAAGTACCTATTCTATGTGCCTCTTGCTTTCTATATGCATTTTTATCAATCTGCACTTTTACCAAGGACATATTAAAATGTTTGCTGCAAGTTGTTTTTACCAGAATGGCTCTTTATTGGGGAAAAGGCCAAGTTCTTAGGCAAAAAAATTTGTTTTCATTTGCATTTTTTATTAAGAGAGGATGAACAATTTTTCATGCCTTTAAACTACTTAGAATTATTGGTCGATTATCAGCTTCCCTTTTTCTCATTTATTAGAATCCTGAATTTATTAGTTCTTCCTATGAGACCTATAAATAAACACAGTGACAGTCTAGGTGTTCCTGCTTTTTAAATTTTCATGGGAGCGCATACTGTAGAGTATGTTCTTACATTAAATGTACCATAGCTTTTTTATTTCTTTGTAACTTCTAAATCTAGAAAGTCATTTTTATCCTTCAGTGATTTATATTCAATTTTATATTTGCTTAATTTTTATGCTTTGATTTTCTATATTTAATACTTGAATCTATATGTTATGCAAATTTTTAAACTACGTATAAGAAAGAGGTTGTCTCCTTTCAATGTTTGTGCCTACTATTTTATTCGACGACTTGGTATATTTTCTCGGAGTGTGTGTTTCTGTATTTGTGTGACCACATGGCATGAACCAGAATTATTTTATTTATTTATTTATTTTGAGACAGAGTCTTACTCTGTCACCCAGGCTGGAGTGCAGCGGTGTGATCTCGGCTCACTGCAACATCCACCTCCCTGGTTCAAGCAATTCTCCTGCCTTAGCCTCCCGAGTAGCTGAGATTACAGGCATATGCCACCACGACCAGTTAAGTATTGTATTTTTAGTAGAGATGGGAATTCACTATGTTGGCCATGCTGGTCTCAAACTCCTGACCTTGTGATCCACCCACCTTGGGATCCCAAAGTCCCAGGATTACAGATGTGAACCACCATGCTCGGCCAGAAATTCTAAACAAATATTACATAATATAGGTGATACAAAATAAATTTTGTTATTATTTTAGTAGCACATATTTTGTTTAAGCCAATGTATTGGTTAGCAATTATGTTAGATGATGTTTTTCTTTTTTTTTTTCTACTCCAGCTTTGTATTGTTATGGAGCAATTGTATCCAAAATGTGAGATTTCAAATATTACTTCATGTGGATTCTCGTCATGATTTTGATATGATCTTACAGCTCAAACAATATTGTAAAAGAAACTCTGGCTGCCATTGAAATGATTTTATCTTTTAAAAATATTAAATTTAATTTCATGTAGTTGCTTATTTTTCCCTTAAAAACAATGATATATTACTAACAAAATGAGACTAATTGCACATTAGTATCTCAAGAATCAATAACAGAACAATGTCCACAGTAACTAGGATGCAAAATTAATATAATTATCTTTATCTTTTACTTTCCATTGTTAAAACAGCATTTAAAAGTAAACAGTATTTCTCAGGAATATCCAATGTCTTAATTCTGATTACTCTAATAAAGTGCCATAAACTGGGTGGCTGATAAACAACGAAATTTGTTTCTCACCCTTTGGAGGCTGGAGTTTAAGAACAGGGTGTTTGTAAGGTCAGCTTCTAGTGAGGGCTCTCTTCTGGGTTGCAGGCTGCAGGCTTCTGGTTCTGCGGAGAACCAGGTTCCATGCAGAAAGACATTGAGCTAGTCTCAGGCCTCTTCTAATCAGGACACTAATTCCATTCATAAGGGCTGCACCCTCATGAACTGATGACCTCCTACAGCTCCACCTCCAAACCCCATCACAGTGAGATGAGAGTTTCAACATATGAATTTTAGGAGGACAGAAATAGTCACTCCATGGTATATCAACAAAAATAAGTGTGTCTTTGCATATAATTTGTGGAGGTATTTTTAAGAGTATAAAACTTCATCAAAATCAAGTAAATAAATTACTAGAAAGTCATTTTTATCCTTCAGTGATTTATACATATATGATACGAAATATACATATATGATAATAGAAAATATTAAAAGGCATAGTTTACTAAAGATTAAACATTTAAAAAATCTTGAAAAGGCCACTAAAATCTAAAAAGGATGTATACATATAGAAAGATGCAAAGTTGTCTCATAATACATAAAGCTTTGTGCCAAACCTATGAAAATTCAGGGATTATTAAACAAAATTAATCAGAGGCTTATAAAATTATCTAAATCATCTCCCCTTATGGTGCATAAAGTTTACAATATAAAAATACTCTCCAGCTGGAGATATTTTCATAAGTATTTGTTGGAACAACTTGTGTCAATTTTTCTTTTACCAATTCATCTATTTTCTTTGTGACCATAGCCTTCTAAACCATGAAAACATTCTGGAACCTTAAGCAGACCGTCTCCAAACACCTTCACAGTAGAAACTTTTGTCCTGTCAACTTGCTGGGAGACTTGCATACCTGCTAAATCTTCTATAACTACAGAAGGGCTTCCATAGCAGGTAAGTTCAAGCATTGCTGAAGTGTTTTATTGTGGTGATATTTCCTTATAGATTTTTAAATTTTACTTTTGTTTCTGTAGTTTTCTTCCTATCCTGCTTTCCAGTAATTTGATTTTTTAAATTCTACATTTGACTTATTAAAGTATAATTAACATTGTAATATAATTATCTAAGTAAATTATAAAGCAAATGTCGAGTAGACTTTATGAAAGTAAAGGGAATCAGTACTTGGGTTTTTAATTTGCATACCTACACTGACATCTTTCTTTTCAACGGTCTTTGTTAATCTACTTAGCATTTAACCTTTTAGACACATCTCTTTTTTGAATGTTTAAGTCTTCATTTTCTCTCTTTCTTCTCTCTCTGTCTCTTGCTCTCTTTCCCTCTCTCTTTACTTTGCATAAAGATTGGTAAATTTATTTACCAAAGACTTTCTAAGTCTTATCCCTTTACGTATAACCGGTTCCAAAGCTCACTGCAATCATTTTTCTCTTTTGGATTCTACTGTTTGATTCTTCCATATGACTTTGTACATCCTTTCAGGCAGTTTTGGTTTCAGAAAGCATATTTTTATAGTATTTTCCCTGAGACCTTACGTATTTGATAATATTTCTTTTACATATATATATGAATTTAACTTGGGTACAATTTCTTAGATTCTCCTTTTTCCAACTCACTGTTTTTGTGGGATTTATTGGTTCATAGGAGGAAAATGATTTTTTAAAAAAAATCTTAATTTTGATTCCTGTAGGTAACTTCTTATATATGAATACTGAAGTTTTGTTTTAAATTTAAATAATTGTTCCAGTTATGTCTCTGGGTCATCTTAATGAAATCTGACAGCAATTTGATGAAAGTTGAGATCTTCATGCTGAAACTAGTACTTGTCAGCTGGGCCTCTCTATAGTCTATAACACACTTCCTCTCCCTTTAGTGAAGTTCATCTAACGTCTTTCTCAAGGTAGTCCTCTACTTCCTGAATTCAATTTTCTGCCAGCATACTGCTCTTCTCTCTAACCTGGACGGCTTTTCCAGCACAGTGTTAGATAGTAACACTGTGGTTCCATTTTCGCCAGTGCACTGATCCCAGACTCTAAATCCCAGTAGCAATGTCTTCAGCTTGCTACTGGGATTTAAAGTCAATAGATGGTACTGGCTTCTTGCTCTTGGTATTCTGTGGGTGGCTTCATGAGCCTTTGTGTTTGTTTGTTTGTTTTTACTTCATGGTATGTTTATCACCTATGTATAAATCACTATAGCCAATCTCTTCTGTTTTAAATATTTTGTAAGGTTTCTGTTTTCCTGGTTGGATGCTAATACAACCACTCGGTGCTTACTATTAATATTTTGGTCTGTAGACACTAACTTTTGTTTTGCCAAAATAGGATTATCTATTCATACAGTTCTATAACATGCTTTATTTATGTGACTTTTTTATTATACCTCATTCATTTTAATGGCAGACTAACATTGCTTCATGCTGGTATATCTTAATTAATGAATCTACTCTTGGTGGCTACTTACATTGCATCTAAATATTCTATTATTATAAACCTTCCTTTACATGCATCTTTTAGCATTTGCTTCACCTGTGATTTCCTACACTGGAATTTTGTGGAAGTAAAATTAAAATTACTGGGTAAAAGTATGATTTTTATTTTAAGTAATGCATAATCCTAAATTTCCAACAAAAATTATACCAATGTATTATATCCCCCAAAGTGTCTGACAAAGAGATGGAAAATACCTCATTGCCATTTTAATTTATTTTTATTCAATTATCAGTTAAAACGGTTGGAGGCCAGTTTTTACTTACCCTGGGAATTGCCTATTTGTGTGCTTTCCCTACCCTTTTACTGAGGTTTTCTGACTTTTCTTTTTGATTTATAATCTTTACATATATCATACATGTATGAATATGAGCTCTATGCTGTATATATTTTAACCACTTGTGTTTATTTTGTACGTCTCATGGGTGCAATATAGTTTTGAAGTCAGGTTTTCTAATTTCTATGTATTCCCTTCTTTATCTTTTCCAAACTTGCGAGTCTTAGAGCTTCTTTGATTTCTGTTTCAGAGCCCTTGGAACATTATTATTTGATATTTTGTTTGGCCATCTTTTAATGGAGGAAGGCACATATATGTCCAGTGTTGGAGATCAGAAAGGAGAGACCCTACACTTTCAAAGAGTAGCTAGAAGTTAGCAGAATCATCTCCACCTCTGATTAATAGCTGGAGGAAAGATAAAAGCAGAAAAATGTTACCTGGGATTGTAATATTCAGGAGGCAGTCACTAAATGCTTTTCTACTTGCAGCTGTGTGTGTGTGTATGTTTGTGTGTGAAAAGAAGGGAGACTCTCTTGTATAGGAATTACAGTTCAAAGAACAAAAGGCTTGAAGGAAGAAGTTTCAACACTTACATTGCTTTGGATTCCATGCACAGTGGTGGACAGAATCCAGGAGCACAGGTTGACACACTCAGACAGGATCAGTAAACAAGTCTTTTTTCTGGGCTACTTCTCCTACTTCCTAACCTGTCCTGATTTGGCCCTTCTTGAGTTGGGACTTTCCTGTCTCAACACACTGGTTTTACTTGCTGGTAGAACTCGCTGAACCAGAGCCCTGAACCATTGCGTGTCCTGCAATGATGCTGGTGCATTCTTGTTTTTTGCTTTTGTTTTTATGGCACTACAGGGAAAAGAAGAATCCATAGAAAAGGAAATGCCCAATGCACTTCTAATTCCTTGCTCCTGTTGTCCTGGTTTGGTATCTATCAGTAGTAGTCACTGTTGGAATCCTTCCCTTCTTTACTTCCTAGTCATGCTGCTTTGTTTCAGGAAATGCAAGATCCTAATATCACTAGTACTGAAATTAATGAAAAAGTCTCCCAAATTCTTGCATGTCCCCATTTTTTTCTTATATTTCTGCTTTTCCTTTTTAAAATCGTGACTTAAATGACACTGTATCCCAGAAATTTCTCTAATTAGAGTTTATCCTCATTCGTTCATTCAAAAAAATTGAGAACTTAACTATGTTCAAGAAACTGTACCTCCCAATATACCTAACAGAGTTCTCAACAAATATTTATTCAATGAAATCATACATGATAATCCAGGAATAGGGCTCTAAAGGGCTATGGATGGAATTATGCAAACTAAAGTAACCAGTCTCATTCAAGCTATATTTTTAAGAAAAACAGAAATTTGTGTCTAACAAAAAATAAAAGTAGAATAAGTTATTTATTCTTAGGTTGTAATATGGTTTGGCTCTGTGTCCCCCACCCTCCAAATCTCTCCTTGAATTGTAATCCCATAATGTCTGCATGTCGTGGGAGAGGCTCAACGGGAGGTAATTCAATCATGGGGGTAGTTTTCTCCATGCCGTTCTCTGACAGTGAGTGAGTTCTTACAAGATCCGAATCTTTTTTTTCTTGAAGATGGTGTCTCACTCTGTTACCAGGCTGGAACGCAGTGGCATGATCTTGGCACACTGCAACCTCTGCCTCCCAGGTTCAGGTGATTCTTCCACCTCAGCCTCCTGAGTAGCTGGGACTACAGGCATGCACCACCATGCCCAGCTAATTTTTGTATTTTTAGTAGAGATGGGGTTTCACCATGTTGGCCAGGAAGGTCTCGATCTCTTGACCTCATGATTTGCCTGCCTCAGCCTCCCAAAGTGTTGGAATTACGACTCTTGGCTGAGATCTGATGATTTTACAAGCATCTGACGTTTCCCCTGCTGGCCCTCATTCTCTCTCCTGCTGCCCTGTGAAGAGGTGCCTTCCTCCATGATTGTTTCCTGAAGCTTTCTCAGTCATGTGGAACTGTGAGTCAATTAAACTTCTTTCCTTTACAAATTGCCAAGTCTCGGGTATTTCTTCATAGCATGAGAACAGACTAATACAGGTTGATAGTGAAACATTTATAAATATGATGACAACAAAACTCTGAGGATTTTATACATGTTGACTTCAGATGAAAATGTGGCTTGAGTACAAGTCAGAAAAAGAGATGTGTATTTCAGCATGGTCTGTATTTAATAGTTGCTATGAACCCCTCAGATTCATATGTTGAAGTTCTAATGACTAGTGTGACTATATTTGGAGATGGGGCCTCTAAGGAAGTAATTAAGACTAACTGTAACTGCAAAGGTGGGGACTTGATACATAGACCCCAGAGATCCCTTTCTTGCCCTGTGTGCCATGTGATGAACGAGCAGGAGGTCATCATCGGCAAGCCAGAAAGAGAGCCCTCACCAGAAACTGAATCAGCCAGAATGTTGATTTTGAACTTCTAGCCTCCCAGTCTGTGAGAAAATAAATTTCTGTTATATAAGCTATTCAGTTCATGGTATATTCCCCCAAGTTGACTAATACAGTAGTTCATTAAAATTGGTAAGTACAGAGAATATGTGTGAAAAGACAAAATAAACAGGCAAGTCTTTTTAAAGAAGAAAAGCAAAGTAGGAGGGCATGCCCTACTGCATATCAAACTTTTATATACTGTGAAGATGGGGCCTCAAATGGGGCAGTAATAATCTGTTAGAAAATGGTGGGGGTACAAACAATTTTCTAAAAACTGTGTCCCTGGGTCATTTAATAGAAATCTCAAAATGGGTTGAAAACACCAAAAAAACAAACAAACAAACAAACAAAACAAAAGCCAACAAACCCAGGCAGAATTTCTTTTTTTTTTTTTTTTCCTGGAGATGGAGTCTCACTCTGTCACCCACACTGGAGTGCAATGGCACGATCTTGGTTCACTACAACCTCCATCTCCCAGGTTCAAACAATTCTCCTGCCCCAGCCTCCTGAGTACTTGGAATTACAGGTGCCCACAATCATGCCCAGCTAAGTTTTGTATTTTTAGTAGAGATGGGTTTTGCCATGTTGGCCAGGCTGTTCTTGAACTCCTGACCTCAGGAGATCTATCTGCCTTGGCCTCTCAAAGTGTTGGGATTACAGGCGTGAGCCTCCA